AATTTGTTCACTTAAATCTAAATAATTATGTCACTTCTGTCATCCCGTACGATAACTTTTCCTCACGTAAGCTGTCAATACGTAAAATCATCACTGATAACCTGTCAAGTGACGCGAAATGTTATGACCTGCTTTGTTTTATTTTTAAACTACTTCTTTTCGGTACAGAAACTAAGTAATGCTTGTTTCAAAATATCTTAAATAAACATTATAATTTCTGATTTTCTTAAAATAAGTTTTGAAAAAATTATAATTGATTTTTAAAAGATTTTCAAACTGAGATTTTCATTTTTTTTTTTATAAAATGGAAAAAAATGGTTGACATGATAATGATAATCTGTCAATTTTGCTGATTAAAAAAAAACATTTTTAACGAAAATTTTGGGCGTGCTAGGAACGATTAAAAAAATACCCCCAAAATACTTTGATCTTTACTTTTAATTAATAACAAACATTTAGAGTTTTAGACGATAAAATTTCATTTTCGTCAAGTTTGGCGTCTTTTTCATCATGCTATGCTCCTTTTAGCGATCTCATGAAGGATTCTACATGAATATACAGTAGAGAACTGTGACCATATTTTTATTTTATCAATGTATTTTTTCTTTAACGACAATAAACGTGGCAATCTTGTTTTACTTTTTACTAAAGTCTTCGTTTTTGTATTCCGTCAGTCAATATCTATTTGCGGGTCAATATGCCACAAACAACAAAACCGACCTCTCATACTTGCGGTTAACAATCAAAGTGCCGCCTAGAACCCTTCCCCTCTAATCGGTTTATGGTGAGAAAACCACGCAAAAGTCAAAATGACCGCCAGTCTACCGAAGACAAGTTTTAAGACATTGCAGCACAATAAGTGATACAAGGAGAAACAGTCGTAAATCACTCGTTTTCTGTGGTTTTTTTTTTCGCTTGAAAAATTCTGGTGTGAGGGAGTGGTAACTAAAAGTAAAAAAAAATAAAAAAACGAGTAATAATTACGAACGGTTTTACTTCTGAAGGTCAGATTCATTCAAAACATAAAATAAACCCATAGGAAAGACAAATTTCACCTCTAATAAAAAAAAAAAAAAGAAAAAAAAAAGGAAGGTGGAGACGGATGTAATGGTAAAAAAAAAAAAAAAATCCAAAGAAAAATAGCGCGAAATGAAAGTTGAACTTTTATAATTCGCCAAAGAGAATTTTTTTTTTTTTTTTTGCTTTTGAAAACAAATAAGTTAATCTTGTAAGTTGTAATTATTTTGCAGCGAAAGAAAAAATAGTTTGAAATCTTTTGATGACCAACAGCAGAAAAAAAAAAAACATTCGGAAACAGCTGCATTAAAAAAAATATTTTTTTAAGAAAACAAAAACATTTTTAGAACCGCCATCAATAGGAACAGAGTGGATATTAAAAACAAAAAATCCCATACGTATCTGATGATTTATTCACAAATTTAAACGAAAACAAACGGATTTTAAAATGTCTAATTTTCCGCACTTGCGCTTGGCCCCTAAAAACCTAAACTTTTGTTTTTGCTAAAAATTTTCTAGTTCGCTATTTCTTTTTTATCATTTCAAATTTTGGAAAAATGTTTTTCCCACAAAAGGAAACCGGATCTTTTCTAATTCATCCCAAAAAGTTACTTATCGCAAATGTTAATTCACTCCAAGAAATTATAAAATGTTTTTTTTGTTTTTTATTAAATTTTTGGCACTCTTTTGAAATTATAAATCAAAATTTGTTTTTAGCTTGCCTCGCAACAACTCGAAAAATTACGTTACATTAAGTGCGGTGATATTCGATGTGGTTACAAGAATTTTTTACAAAAAAAAAAAAAAAAAAAAAATGTTTTTGACTCGTTTATCGGGGTGACCGCGAATGTAGACCCCACATTTAAAAATAACGCACCAGAGTCGCCCACATTTTGGGCGATCACAAAGTTCAACCCAACCGGTGTGCAATGGAAGGGCCTCGCTCTGGGAGAATTTGGTGTGAATTTTATAAATTCTTTTTATTTTGAGGTGAATTATTTTGTGTTGAATTTAACAGCAGTAAAGATCCGAAAGCGCCCCTCATTCGATCGTACAATGAAGCTGTTCCTGACAGTTTCAATTTAATAACCGCTGGTAAATTATTGTATCACGTAAAAAACTTTTTTTTTTCTTTTTAATGATTTTTAATTTCTAATGATAATCTCAAGAGGCACACTATTTCTGGTTGAAGTGAATGCGGACATAAATGCGAATAATTCGAATGTTTTCTAACGCGAAAAAAAGAAAGATAAGAAAAAAAAAAAAGGGAAGGACATGTAAGGCAATGACCTTTTTTAATTTCAACGAACATGTTCTTTTGCTTTAAGCAGCACGAAATCGCGACAGCTGGTGATTAAATAAAACATTTGAAGGTTAAGTTTTTTAAAAAAAAAAAAAAAAAAAAGGTTATCACCGACTTTTTTTTTACATTAGCCAATTAGAAACATTTTTCTTCTACTGAATTAAGAAAGAACTTTAAAATCTTCATATCATTTTTTTTTTCTAAAAGTTTCAAATTAGATACTGGAGTGGACGGATGAGGAAATTCTGCCCCCCCCCGTCATTCCCACTAGAGATGTATTATGTTGCTCAAGAAAATACCAATTCGTTTCTCAAAGTGCAATCTTTGAATAAGTTGAGGAGCGAGTTAATTTTTATTTAAGTAACTAAATTTTGCAGTAAGTGAACAAGATTTTAAGTTAAACTAACTAAAAGATTGTGCTCATTTATTTAAAAAAAAAAAAAAAAAAAAAAAAAAATTAAAAGCTAAAATACAGAGTTACAGGATCGGTGCAAGGCTGTCGTGCCCCCCTCCACACGGATCACCCCAAAACGTTAATTTTCATATAATACAAAATTTTATTGTAATGTAACCTAATTATGTATATTATGTACAATAATGGATTAACACCATAGGTGAACAATTCAACTAGAAAAATTGAAAATAAATACAACAATGCATTTCTAACAAAAAATACAATAGAGAGACACTACACATAAATAAATCAATGTTTTTTTGCAGCAATTTTTAACATCAACTTGAGACTTTTTCTTGTTAAAAGGTTGATTAACTCATTCAACATTGCGGATAAAAAATAGTTTTCAAACTAATTAATTGTTTTTTTCGAGATTTAGCAAGAGTCGAACAAATTCACGGATTTGACCCCAAAAAACAAACAAACAAAAAACGTCAAACTGAAGAAAGTTTCATCCTTTGAGGTCGTTTGTACTTTTGTAATGTAGGTAGAAAAAAAAAAAAAAAAAAAGCAAATGTTGATAAGATAGCGTGGGTTACAAAGCACTGCCCAGAGTCTCCAATCAGGCTTCGGGAGGCAGTATGGTTTTTTTGTTTGTTTTTTTAAACAGTTATTTTTTTCTTTTAAAAGAAAAAAAAAAAAAAAAAAATAGTATTATGCAAACAAATAAAATTGTTAATCAGACAAGTTTCCTCTCGTTGTTTGCATCTGTGAGACGGCAATAAAATCAACAGGTCGGTTACACAAGCAGCGAATTTCTTTACGATCCTAAAGAAAAAGTCTTATTGTTCTACCAGGAAGGAACGTCCTTTATAAAGGGGAGCCAAGTTCGAACTCTGCCGAAGGGCACATTCTTTTTATTAAAGACGCTCAAAAATCCAAGCCGAATATAGACATTAAAACAGGGACGTCTACTGAAACATGTGTATCCACTAAAAAACGAATGTATTCAGGACAATTTTTTCTGAAAGTAATATTTTTCAGTGGATCTGAATAAACAAAGCATTGAAATTTCTTTATTCAGATTCAATGAATGTTTTGTAAAAATTTAACAAAGCAAAACACTGTTATCCGTATAATTAACTTGGTTTTTAAATTTTATTTTTATTCAACGATTCATTCATTTTTTTTTTTAGATGCCATCACGCGTGTCTAACGTTCAAAATGAAAGCGACACCAAAAACATTTCACTTGAATAAATTTATAAAAAAATAAAAATAAAAACGTTAACAGCGGTCTTTAGTTATACTGGCTTCTTGGTAAGGTTTCAGTCGGTCCAAAGAGAGAACTTAAAGCCAAATAGGTTAACTTTAAAATAGTAAATAAAAATTATATTAACTACGATTCAGTAACACTGTTTTTTTATGACATGCGGACGACTAATTAGTGAGCCAAGATTCGTGTCTGTAGAAAAGAAGCTGAGATACTTAAGGTCTGTTCTTTTTTAAAGAGAAAGACGGGGGTGGGCTTTCTTTTTTGCTTGTGGGTATTGGCTACTCATTCTGAGGATTCGTGCAGTCTAAGCATCGCATTTTGAAAACAAATAAACATTCAACAACAACCTCGATTAGAATTCGAACTATTTTTAAGTCGTAACCATCTTCCTTTGCCAAATTTTGTGTTCTACATTGTTATCGTTTTTTTGTTTTTTTTTTTTTAATTGGGGCACCTGCTGTTTGTTATCTTAAAAAAACAGAAGAAAACAACTTCGTATCACTTATCTTTAAGAACACGTATGTATGTATGTATGTGTGTGTATGTGAATCAATCCAGAGCTTGTTGAATCCTAGTGTTCACAATGTTTACTTTAATTAATAGTTATTATTAATAAAAAATAAATATAAATGATGTCATTTTCTCACCACATTGACAAGAAAAGAAAAAAAAGTAAACTTTTCTTTTTATTAGGCTGGGAAATTAACTGATATCTCAACAATTAATGTGCCGAAAAGTTCTCGGCCCGACCAAGAGGCCGTTAAAATTTTTAAGTTAAAAAGGTCTGATCACTTGGCCAAGTTTTTAAAAAGCGGTTTAAACCTAATACCCTTCAGCATCCCTTCAAAGAATACTGTGTGTGGCATAAAACAAAAAAAAATGAGACACTAACTAACATTCTTAGTCCAGATTAAAAACTTCTTTTTTCTTTCTATCCCAGAAAACTGAAGAGGGTTTCCAAGATATTTTTAATTTTACTAATAAAATTTAGAAAACCTACAAAAAACTCACCTGTCTCCGACTCCTTTACAGCGAAGTCCATATTGAGAACAATAAGCCCGGTCAACTGAAAGACGAGCACAGGACTTTACAGGATAACAAAATATGCCAGCCACGCGCCCAACTGTTTGGAAGGATTCATATTTTTTTCGTCGAAACCACATGGATATTGCATATTTTAGAAGCGACCCAGATATTAGCGTAAGCATTAACTGAGAAGGACTGTTTTCGGAAAAAAGTGATTCCAATATTTTAGAACCGAATGATTCCATCTTTTTTTTTTCGATGTGGAATGTAAAAATTAATTTAAAAAAAAATTGAATGTCCAATTTAGCGACTTGAGCTGGCGAAAGAGAGAAGCGGGTAAAAAAATGTATGTTGCTGGCTAACGGCTGGTTGTTTTCGTTTATTTATTTTAATTATATTCAGGATACGATCAGAATTTAAATGCTTATGGTAGATCTCGGTCTGTCAGTAAAAGCGAAAAGAGATCTACCAGCTGACTCGTCGAAAGTCATTCGCTGAAGTAATAATAATGACATTTGACATTTTTAAGATAACATCCAGACTTCCGTTTAAAACAAATGCGACTACACCGAAGGGAGGTAACTCTAAAGTCGTAATTATTAATGGCGTGCACTTGGGTTGTGGGGTTGGAAATCTTTTTTAAAGATGGAGAGGCATGCAAATTGCAAATTCTATGAACATAAACATTTGATCATCAAATCAATAATAATGGAAGTCGGAAAATTAGAAGTGGGGAATTAGCATTATTATAAATTGATTTATTCTATGTGATGTCATCATTCTTATGTTGTTGTAATCACATAATTTCGGCTAACCAACGAACTAGGTCATACTCATATATCTGTCGTAATTCAGTGACTTTTTCTGGGATTTTCGAACTGGCCTCTTTATTCAATAGAAGTAAAAAGTAAACTGTTCTCATTTGGAAGGCTGTACTAAGGACGATAACTCGTATCAATTATTTGCTAGTTAAATTTTCCTTGTGTTTAATTTAACAGAACCATAATTTTACTACTTGACTTGAAACAGAACTGGATCAAGCTAAAGTTGGAACCTGTAACATTTACTCTAAAGAGGCGCTAAATTTAAAAAAGAAAAAATACGCATAAATATTAAATCTCGGCAACTATTTCTTTAGTGGCAAAGTTTGTAATTGGTTTCTTTTATGTTTTATTTTAGATTTTTGCAGAGATTTTTGTTTTATGGGCTGGGTGTGATGCCCGGAGTCCCTGCATAGAAGATGACTTTTTTTATTGCTTTCTGGCCAATATGTAGATTGAATCAGAAAAAAGATGTAAATTGCAGCCGAGTATAACAATTAAAGATACAGCTTCTCCGACATGTAAACTATAAAAAGTTTTATAAGAAAATAATAAAGGTTATAAATATTTGAAGGTAATTAATTGAAAATAATACAATACATTAAGTTTGTTTATTGCACTTTCTCTTGAGGGGAGAATATAAAAAGTATACAAAAAAATGTAAATTAGAGAAATGATTAATTAAAAGGTGAAGATAAAAAATAAATATCATAATAGACTTCATCATTCATCATTTTATGCAGTTAGTGCATTTTGCATCTCTGTGGACACTGCTCCCCTCCATCTAGCAATTGTGGTTCATAGTGACATTCAAGGCATTATCCTGTCTTTCCTCTCAGAAGTGGATTTGTTTTTTAAATTAACTTCTAACCTTTGAAGGATAGAGGCAAAACTTAAAGGAAACAGGTTCTTTGAATTTAGAGTTTCCTTCTAGACTGGTTGTCACCCAAGGCTGTTGGACCTAATCTGCCCTGTTATTTTACCCATAGCTGGGGGAGATGATATGGATTCATGCCTTTCCCAAAGGTATTAGCATGTAAGTGAATATAATGAACTTGACTGGAATTATTCTGCTGTTAGTGTCAATTATTAGCACAGTGGTTCCCAAACTTTTTTTCTCTGGGCTGCATTTTCAGAATGAAAATTTGCACACATCTCACCAAATTTTATGTGATAAAAAGTACATTTAGAAATAAAAAAGAGAGAGAGAGAGAATAAAGGGAGATAATCATGGATATGAATTTTGAACATTATCATTGATAACTCTTGCCTCCAATTTGTGGATCCTAGTTACTATATTCTTAATCATACTTATTATAAAACCCAGGTTGTGTGTGTGTGTCTGTACGTTTATATATTGGATCGGATTTCCTACATTTTTCAACCGATTTCAACAAAACTTCACAGGACTACATAAAATTACCTTGCAGTGGTTCTAACAGCGCCAAAAATGGGAAAAATATAATTGTTTTTGCATGAAATCAATTTGAAAACACGATTAAGAGGCATCACTGTCGAGAATGAAAGGGGGACAACTCATATCGAGTTATACTTATTATAAGGTTGTTTGTGTGTGTGTATGTGTGTGTGTTCATTTATATATGGGATCGGATTTCCTACATTTTTCAACTGATTTCAACAAAACATCACTTTTTTTTTTGGCAGGTAGTGTTTCTTATTGTTTTGCACACTATTTTCTTTATTTTTACATTCAGAATGCTTTAAAAATTCCATTTACAAGACAATTGTTTATAATAAAATTCTATTCAATCGGTAGACTCATAACAATTGAAAACAATGTTTTTATTTGAGTTTGGGTTTGACCAATTCGTAAAAAAAAAAAAAAAAACAGAACAACAACAAAAAAAACTAATTAAGACATGCATGTCCATCAACCTTAAACAATAATCTTTGTCAATTTTATTTTTCAGTCTTTATGATGGTTGATACTTGATCTATCTCTTACTGTTACATCCCCAGGCAACGCCGGGCTCTACTGCTAGTACTTGATATAATGCAAAAATATCACAATGATAAAATCAGTTAATAATTAATTATAAGTATTTATAATGGGACTCATGCATGCAATTACAAGTAATCAATAATAATGGTTTAAATTTTGAAATCATATTTATTTTTGGCATATGAAGTTTTTGAAAGTTTGATTGTATTTCAATCATTCTACCTCACCTGCTATCATCTTCTGCCACACCTATGAGGCCCGCCACGCCATTTAACAGTATTTAAATATTGTTATGTAATAGAGTAAGTTAAAATACTATGTGATATTAGAGTATTTAAAGTCATAGCTAATACTTAAGACAATATTTTAATACTATTATATAATACAGTATGTTAAAAGTAAGTATTGAAGTACATTACTATCTAAGTTAATATCATGGACATTGTTTTAATACTGTTAAGTAATAGTGTATGCCACAATACTATAGAATATTACAATACATTAAGTCGTAACTGGTACTAAAACAATTTATTTATTAATACTGTTACATTTTAGCAAACCATCCACATTCCTTCTGAGTTCAATTGGTGAGAAGTAAGTTCCACTCAAACAGTTTCCTACAAACTACTGCTTTGTGGAACTGTCTCCCAAGAGGATGCTTTCTTGATCACTACAATTTTAACCTGTTCAAGTCTAGGCTTAAAAATTATCTTCCCCTCCTAACCATATAAGCTGTCTTTTACTATAATGTAGACTGAGGTATAATGATAAACTACATCACACTTCAAGGCCTCTAATCAAGAGATTGGAGGTTTTGAGGAGTGTTGAACCATCTCTTAATTGCTATTATTCCCAGGTCCACCTTAACCAGGGGTGGTAACACCTGTTAGGGTCCCAGCTGTGGGCAAATAGTGACCCCCCCCCAAACAAAAATCAAACACTAGGAAAGTATAAAAATACATTTTTATAGTAAAAATACCAGCAATACATTTTATCTGTGGTTGAAGGCATACAATTACATTCAAAATATATTTAGTTGAAGCCATACAATTGCATACAACATATTTAGATGCTGGCATTAAATAATCCATAAAGGTTGATAAGATGGTTTTTACATTTGGTTTTAAGTGTTTAAAATAGTTAAAAGAAAGCCAGACAGTAAAAAAGATTTGGTTTGGTTTGGTTCATGGCATATCAACCTATCAAGGTAATTTTCTGTTGAAGGTGCTTCAGCTATTTTTACTATAGAAGACCATACACGTAAGCATCTGCCATAGAAATCAGTCTGTTAAAAAGAAAGAACAAATTTGTTAAAGTCCCAGTGACTCTACTAACCTTCTCATTTTCGACTTTCAAATAAGTGTATCTTTTTTGAAAGAATATCTATTGTTGGAATCTTTTTGGAACAAATTGTTTGGTTTGTTTTACAACATATCGACCTCAATGGGTTATTTAACAACGACAAAATTTTCATTGTTGGTAATATTTTTTTCAAAAAATCTATTTCTGGTAATATTTTTTCCTTCAAAAAATCTATTTCTGGTAATAATTTTCCTTTGCTGGTAATATTTTTTTTCAAAAAAGTGTTGCTGGTAATATTTGTTTTTCAAAAATGTATTGCTGGTAATATTTTTTTTAAATGTATTGCTAGTAATATTTTTTTTTAAATGTATTACTAGTAATATTTTTTTTTAAATGTATTGCTAGTAATATTTTTTTTAAATGTATTGCTGGTAATATTTTTTCCTTCAAAAAATCTATTTCTCGTAATAATTTTCCTTTGTTGGTAATATTTTTTTTCAAAAAAGTATTGCTGGTAATATTTGTTTTTCAAAAATGTATAGTTGGTAATATTTTTTTTTTAAATGTATTGCTAGTAATATTTTTTCAAAAATGTATTGCTGGTAGTAATTTTTTTACAAAGTATTTCTGGTATTAAAACCTATTTTTACACTTTCATCGTGTTTTGACCCCAGTTTGGGTGTTAGCTATTTGCCCATAGCTGGGACCCTAACAGGTGCTATCACCCCAGGTCAGGGTGGACATGGGAACACCAGCATTTAAGAGGTGGTTCCATGCTCCTCAAAACCTCCTGGCTGCTGGTCAATATTTATCGTCTTATCCAGGACGTGGATGTAGTTTACCGTCATACCCAGGACAGGAATCAAATTGTATTGTATCTCCTCAAAAGATTTTTTGATTGTTGAAAGATTTGTTAAAAAATTTATATAAGTTTTTATGAGCCATGTGTAATTTTTTTAACTGGTTATCTTACCTTAATAATAAGAGTACACAAAAAGAAAATTTTGTGCAAATGCATTTGTAAGCAAATTGCATTTGTAAGCAAATTGCA